CCTTTCCTTTCCTTTCCTTTCCTTTCCTTTCCTTTCCTTTCCTTTCCTTTCCTTTCCTTTCCTTTCCTTTCCTTTCCTTTCCTTTCCTTTTCTTCCTTTCCTTTTCTTTTCTTCCTTTCCTTCCTTTTGTTTTTTTTTCTTTCAGAGAGATTGGTTGCATTATAAGGTCACTGGGTTGCTTCCCAAATGAGGCAGAAGTACAGGAACTGCTTGACCAGGTAAATGTTTCAATCTATCGTATTTTTTTCAGTCTTCAACTTGCACAAGTTTACCCCTTCTGCCTTGCTGATTGGGAAACTTAAGCTCTTTTCCCAGATGTTGGAAGTGTCATGGAAGTGTTACCAGCAGAGAGACAGACAGTCTCACAGGTTGCCTTGAAGCAAACCTTTAGGCTAATGAGGGTACAGCATTGATGGGTTAAAATGCTTTCACACCAAAGGGTCACTGTGACACTGTGCCAAGTGGAGGGGCATTTACAGAAAATGGAGGAAAAATTGGTTTTGTCTGATGAAACAGAATGTCCTAAACCTCAGTCAGATTACGATATCCAAACTCTAACCATCTCACTTTTCTGGACATGCCATGGAAACATGTTGCAGGGTTAGGTAATAAAAATTAATTATTGAGCAGATGTTAAAATTATACATCACATTCCAAAAATACCCAGAGGGAAGTCCTGTCATTTTCTGAACTAGATCCTGTTGTTGCTATCTGATAGCCAGACCTTTCAATGTTCTCTCCTTCATGAGGTCTCTCTCAGTCTTGAGATTTCTCAGTTAGAYGTAAGAATCTTTTCTTACTTGATTGCTTAAGCTTGGAAATCAGGCTTTAGGACATAAAACCTCACAAGTCCTAGTGGTCCTCCCATTCTCCCAGTGATAGGCAGTGGTAAGGTAAGAAAATTAATCACATTTCTCCACAGTCTTTTCCTACACTAATTTTTGTCTCCTTACATCATTCTTGTAATGGAAGAGTGTTGTGCTGGTGCCTTGGCATAGTGTGGTTAATACATGGGACAAAAAAGTGGGAGAAAGACTTCACACTCTTCTTAMAAATGGGCATGCTGCTGTGAGGAGTGAGCAGTGCTGGAGCTAAGAGGTGTGGTAAGGTTTTTTCTCCTTTTCATGTGTAGTCAGGCTACTGGGACTTAATGTCTTCTACTGTTCTCTTCCTGCATCAACAAAAATGTGGATAGTCACAGTAGTAGTGTCTCCTCACTAGGCTTGTCTGGTCTCTAGCAGATCAGAATTTAGTGTGAGAAATCTTGAATTAAGTCTTGTGAAAATGATGCAGCTGCTTCAGATGAGGAAGTGCAAAGAACCATTGGAGGAGAAAGCTGTTTTAACATGATACTGCAATCTGTCTGCTCTGGTTCTATGCTCTCAGAACCAGATTATCCCAGCTTCCACTGACAAACAAGACAAAATGGAAAGAGAAATTATGGTGCTTAATATAGATGATATTTTTAGTGTCCCACAGTGACTTTTCTTTACAACAAATGAACAGTGCAACTCACTGAAGATAAATATTTGTGAAAAGACACTTTGACAACCCGCTTTGAGTTCAGGGTAACTAGAAGAATTTAAGGCCTGCCTCTTCCTCTGAAAGAGATTGGCCTTTTTTTTCCCCCAGTTTTCAATATTACTGGAAGTTTGAGATAACTAATACATAAAAAGTACAATGCAATGTAGCCATGAGGCAGAAGATTCTTGAGATAYGACTGTAATGTGTATGAAAATGCTTATTGTAAGAATATTAAAGTACAAATACTGCAAGAAAAAAGAATACATTCAAGAGTAATGATTTAACCTTAAGCACTGGAAAATAAATAGCAAAGAATGTTTCATGGTGCCTGTAAATGAAACCTTGGCATAGGTTTAGTACCAGAAGAAACTCTTTTCTTGTAGAACCCTTCATATATTATGATTATCACATATATCTTAATTTATATAAGATGCCACTATAATTAACTGTGGTAATACCATTTTATCTTAATCTAGATAAGGTAAAAATTGTGTCTTGTTAGCCAGTTTGTAACTAAGCTATTTTTTCCAGTATTGTTGCCCATCGTGAGTTATGATGCATTTCTGTTTCTCGCTACTTGTGTCTCTGTCATCTCCTCTTCCTGTTAGCCTTATTGTAGTTAAACTAGCATATGGTGTCATCACATTATTCATATATCTGCAAAAGCAGCATCCACATAATTRTGTTATCTCTATAAAATATCATATAATGTTTCTTATATTGCCTTATACTCAGTTTTGTGCTTAATGTCATGTCTCTAGGCCCAGTTACAAAGTTAAGAATAAATGCTAAACTTTGAGATGGTGAAAGCTAATCTAAGGGTTACCACAATGCCTGACATTCAGTACAGTGCTCTGCCTCGTGACTCTGGAGGATATTTTTGTTATTTTGTGTTTCAAGTACCCCARTGTTATGGCTGGGAGAATAGAGGTACAAAACATAATAGGTGGTACAATACAAGTGTTATGGGAGCTATGGATGTACCCAAAGGAAAGAAGTAGACCAAAACTCACAGAATTTGAGCAAACAAATACTGTAACTGTGAAAAGAGGARGAAATACAGAAAAGCATCAATGAGAAGTGAATGAGCATGAGGAAGAGTAAGAAGTGTTAGAAATTGGATTGATTTTAACTGCTCAGGATGTTGTTGTATCTATAGAGACTCTGAAATGGAAGCTGTTTATTCCACATCAGAGGAAGCTGAGGTTGCTGATCATCTCCCAGGARTAGGTTTTGCCATGTATTTTGTTACATCTTTTCAATCAAGCAAGCAATAAAACAAGTGATTCTGTGATGGTGAAAAGGTTTCATTCGGTTCAGAACGTAGCATGCAACATCTTTATTTTCTTGCTAAAGATCCCTCCTGCTAGGCCCACCAAACAGAAGAGAAAATGTTTTTTTCCAGCCCATTTCCATGATAAAGCATGGAAAGAGGTGATGACTGTCTTCTCTTAGCACCCAAACCCCTTCCAGACCACTGGAAAAGAGAGTGCAGCAGCAGCAGCTGCAGCTTTCCGTTTAAGCAACTGGATGTATCAGGAGCTGCCCCAGCTCTCAGGAGGAAGATTCCTTACCAAGTTTTTCCTGGCTCAGTTAGAACATTTCAAATCAGTGCCTGTGATTTCAGTCTGGGCTGTGTCACCTAGCAAGGTGTTGCTGCTGCCATGTGAGACCTCAATGCATGCATCCAGTTTCAACACAGACAGGAACAGACTATCTCCATTAACTGGTCTTCTTTTGGGAGCAAAACATGAAATTTTCAGTGAAGGGATGCATTGATGAGAGAGAGCAGTTTTTAACATGTTGCTTATTTCATGTGGAGGTATAGGAATGCAGTGAGAATGCTGCTAAAAGTCCCCAGTGTTTTGGGACCAATTTTCTAATTCATTTGGGAGCAAAGGAAAGCTATTTTTGGGTAGCATTTTATAGGCTGCCTTATGACTGTTTGGGTCTGCCCCGATTCAATCTGCCTGCCTCTCTGGTCCTTCTGAGAATTCCCTTTGACTATGAAACATGAAAGCAACAAATTCCATCTTTGAGGTGTACTTGAGCTCTATSCAAGCTAGCCAATTAAATATGCCCAGAAACAGCCTTGGGTGTTGAAGCCAGCTGGCCCAGAGCGAGTCATGCYTACCCTGGTAAATGTTTTAGGCAGAGTGGTTGCACGAAGCATTCTGCTGGGGAAAAATCCTCAAAATCCAATCCAGGATCTATTGGGGAAATGTTGGGTTGCACCGTTCAAAATCATGCCAAGGGAACATGCTCATGGTTTGCTGTAATGAGTGTTCACATTAAACTCCTTGGGAATGCTCCACATCCTGATAGACTTTACTAGTATGACTTCAGCCTTAATGTTTAAACCTCTGCTGACTTATTGTGGGAGATAAAATCAGTTACTCSGTGTCAGGTTCCTCTGCACAAATGATTTTGAAGCACAAGAGGGCAACATTGAGTTGTTGCAAGTGTCTATAATAGCAGGCCTGTATTTCTCTGGGATATTATTTATTCCTCAAATCTCCATTTGATCACAAGCCTTTCACTCAGATGTTATGGTGCCATGTGATATTAAAGACCTGATATAAATATTCAAAGTCTAACGCTGTAATTTTAATACAGGGACCACCCCAATTTTCTGGTTTTTTTTTGATTAGTTTGTTAATGAGTCATATAGTCTGCCACACTTCAGTTTTATTTTTAGATAGAAGTAGAAGATCCGAGTGGATTTGTTCATCTGGATAAATTTCTTCCAGTGATGACAAAAGTACTACTTGACGAAAGGTAATGAAAAGCAACTTTTATGTGTCTGTAGTTTATTACAGATTGACAGAGCTGATTCTGASTAAACATATCTACAGAAATTTTACTTAATTGGAAGGAGTACAGATCTTTGTCATTTAAACTCAATTTATATTAGCTAGATAGATTTTGTTTCAAAATTAGTTCATCTACATAAAATAATGTACTGATTATATAAATAATACCTGCTTATAATCATAATTGGGATAATATGTGGCTTTTATGTTTTTAATGGGAATCAGAATTGCTATTCAACATGCTTTGTATATCTCTGAAATATTTTTATGCAAATTAAGGCCATAACTGTGGCTTTCTCTGAACATATGGATTACTGCTACTGAGAAGCATGGAGTTACAATGTATTCTGAATAGGTTGTTTAAACCAGCTTGGTATTTGTGTCTCAAAGCCACKGCCAGGTGCAGCTGAGCATGCACAATAGCTAAAAGACTGCTGATACACAAAGGTGCATACACAAAGTCTTTGCATGTACAMAGGAACTTGTGCTATTTTGACATTTTGCACTAAAGCAAGATTACTTACAGGGAGTTTACCTTTCATTTTAAAGATGGTAATCAAGGCTTTTGAGAAACTCAGTCTTGTCCAATAGTAAGCAGTTATTTTGCACACAGAAGGTCTTTGGTAGGAGGATGTTCTACACATGAAATAGTTGTGGCTCCACACAACGATGCTTTGCTGCTCTGGGCTCTCCCCCTCACCACCTCCTTCACACAAACATACACACACACACTCGAGTAATCCCCCCACACTTTCCCCAGGTTAGCGCAGGCTTGTCAAGACCCGCTTTATCTTTTGGGGCACTCTGTCCAGAGTTCACTTATGCAAGGGCACATGAGATTTGCATCACAAAATACAAGGTTTCTTCTTAACACATTTGATTTTTAGATAGTAAAAGATGGAGGCGGGTCCAGACAAAGCAATCAAGCAGTTAGAACCTCTGTGAATTCAGCTCCTTCTCTTTAGTATTCTGGGAGTTTGGTGAGAGCCTGCTGGGATATGAAAACTCTGTTGCTGCACTGTGCTTCCTTTCCAGCTCCAAAATCAAGCATGCATATGCATGCACACACATGCCCAGTTCTCSCCTCTCTGAAATTGTTAGTGACAGACCTTTTATAGCTACCAGCCTCCTTTGCTCATCATCAGCTCATTAGACTGCCCAAGTCCCACCAAGGTGATCTAGGTTGCCTAGCTACCAGCCTACCTGGACAAAACTTTGTTTTCTTGTTTTGGCCATTTCTGTTCAGTGCATTGGCTATGTAGAATGATTCATCTGTTGCTGATTCCTACTAACCCTGCCAGCCAGCCCAGACATGCAGAAGCATTCATATGGCTCCTCAGTATGAGGAAAATTAACAGTAGTACAACAAAAGATATAAGAGTTAAGTGCATGGACAGTTCCAAAAGATCAGGCTGCAATGAAATGTTTGATAGATAAAACTTAGTAAATTGTCATGGATAATAAGCTTTCATTTTCTTTTAGTACTCATTTAATTTTTTTAACAGAACACTGGCAAACAGTAACTTTACTGATTCCATGGTTTCAGATTCCAGCCTATTCCAGAAGATGTTCTTCTACATGCATTTGAGGTCTGTAACTAAATATTCAAGTACCTAATTGCTGGGAAGAAGTTGCTGCTTTTTGATACAATATGTTTAAAACCACAAGTTGTATTCTTTTTTTTTTTTTTTTACAGGCTTTGGATGAGAACAAATGTGGATATATTACCAAAGAGGACCTGGTCAGACATTTGACTGAAGGAGGTAAATGAYTTGTGCAATATCAATATTTAAGGAAAAAGCATTACACGTGAATATGGCACCTTGAGGTCGTTACCCTGCATGCCAAAACCTGCAGGAGTAGATACATTGTCCTCAAACAATGGTGTTGCTGTGATGAGTGGCTGCAGACTAGGATATTTCACTGGTCAATGATGCAGAGAAAGAGCATTTATTTGCCTGTTTGCAGATACTATATAATAGAGATTTTTATTCTTGTCCATATTCATAATTCAGTCATGTCTGGATRTTTTGTGATTCTGTGCACACCTCTGTGCTTACTGAGTATGTGACTCTTTTGCTATCCTGTAAAATTGCATCTCAGATTCCGGATGTTTCAGTAGTTTCAGCGCTCATTCATTCTTGCATTATCTTGATCTTAACTCTAGAGCCATATGCAAACAAAGAGATTCACAGACCAGATTTCAGTTGTACATTCGGTAATCCTCAATAGCCCTTGAAGAGCCTCCTTTTCTTTCATGTCTGACTCATGCCCACCTGCCTCATGTACAAAAGGGTGCACAGGCTTTGTGCAAGCCCTAGCCTCAGAGGGTAACCTGGTTCTCTGAGGCATGAAGTAGGCCATCAGCAGCTTTGAAGCTACTGAAAGAGAAAAACCAGAAGTCTGGTTAGCCAGACCAGAAGTACAAGGATAGCCAAATGAGAGGTAATAATTCTAATGTACACAGGAGAAAATCTCTGACAAAAATGGTTGTTTCAAAATCCGTGGTAGAGAGGAACAGGCTGTTGTGGCATCTGTGAACTAGAAGATCACAAGATCCAGATCCTCCATCTCCTTTCTTTTAGACTGGCTCCCTTGGTGTGCAGGACTTATATTGGCAAAAGTGAGGGAATAAGATCCTATTTCCTTTTCCTCTATGTGTGAGAATCAAAAGGAGATCTTTTCAAGAGAAAAGCAGTGGAATTTGTGAGTCCTTGAAAGGATACTTACTAAGACAAAATGTTATTCTCTGCTGTTTTTCAGGTGAGCCCTTTACTCAGGAGGAAATGGAGGACATGCTCAATGTTGCTGTAGATCCAGAAACAAATATTCTTCACTACAGAGACTACCTTCCAAAGCTGGTAATAGATTAAACAAAGACCTTCCCTTTTAATGCCTGAGATGCCTTTTGGTAACAGCACTGTAGCTTGACAGATAGCTGAAATATGTATTTTAAAGTATAACAATGCTCAGCTTGTGACTTGGTGCTTATAATTAAAATAAAATATGTGCAGTTATATTTCCTTGGGTTCTGTGTGCATATGTATATATATATACATACAAAAATATATTCACACCTGGAGAAAAGCTCTTGACAGAAATACTGTGTAAGCTCTGGAAAGGAAATCATGGAATTTTGTTGCAAAATAGCAGGAAAAACAGTGTTAATGAAGTCAAGAAATAACTTTATGATTGCTTTTGAAAAACTAATGGAAAATGAGACCTGTAAAATCAGGTAATAAGTAGGTAAACAAGAATCTTAATGTGACTAATACTAGTAAGATAAAGCTTTTATATTTAAATGTAATCCTTGTTTGTGTTTAACTAATAAAGAACTAGGCAGGCTGCAACTTTTGAAATAATATAATAGATCAAATAAATCCTCTAAAATTTCTAGTGTTTTTCAAGTTTTTTTGTTTTGTTTGCCTTAGGCAATTGAACTGGACCTATTAGTTCCAGTTGATATTACTAATCCACTGACATGGTATTTTGGTTTCATTTTAAATGTGCAGGTAGCATTCCAACCATTTCCATAATCAGCCTAATCCTTTTGAGAGCATTTATTTTACAATAGGCAGTAAACAGTTCCCCTTTTGTGACCAGTTTTAAAGTCCAAACTCTTCAAAACTTAGGATCACAGGATGGGAATTTGATTTTCATAAATTGATGAAGCACCATTTTTTGAAAGATATTAGTGTAGAATGGATATCTCAGTTTTCTTGCTATCAGACCACCACAGACTTTACAGCTCTTCTCATTTCTAGTTTGATAATTTTCTGTTACTGTACTGCTGTTCTTTGAGTTCCAGTTCTTTCCCCTTGAGTTTTTGTCACGTAGATCATCTCCTAACCAGTGACCAGCTGCTGCCCTCAACTGTTGAGGTCTCAGCATGTAGAAGATACAGTGGTCTGCTCCTCGAGAGTAGCATCTTGCACTTTGTACTCCACACCTTCCACCCCATTTCTGTTTTTCTACTCTCTATCAAATTTGCTTTCCTCCTTTACTGTGCTACCTCTCCTCTATCCTAACTGCATATCCCAGCTCTGTGTTATCCACAGCCTTCATCAGCTGATGAAATCCAGGGAAGACTGACACAGAGAGGCACTCTGTCAATCTTACTTCCTGTCATGCCCTTGTAGAGGCAGAGCTGAAGACAAAGCATAGCACCCCTCCTCATACCAGGTCTTTTACCACACCCGTTTGTTTCCTGTGGGCTGGAAGCTCAGACTAACTGTTTCCATGTACAGCTGCAATTGAGCTGCTGTGCTKCGCAAAGAAGAGATTAACGTGATCTAAATGAGATGATGGAAGCAGTCTGAAAGAGATAATTTTTAAATTAACTTTWTACTTCTCTAACCCAAGTTAGTCTTTCACTGGTATTTGCTTAAACAGCAAGACAATGAGAAGTTAATGCAGGTAGACAACATTTGCACAGTTCTAAGCTGCATCTGGAAAACAGTGTTGCATGGCTCCTAAGACTCAGCAATGCACTCTGGTTAACACATTAATTGTGTGTTTCACTTCATTGCCAGTAAGAAGGAAAAACAAAGGCAGTCATTGGTGTTATACTGGGGGAAGGTACATTTCTGAAGATTAAAGCAAGAGCAGCAAAGGCCTATTAAGAAAATGTATTTTTATTAGCCTTCTTCWATCTATTTTCAAAGCTGAAATTATTTTCCCTAGATGAATCCTTCTTCCACGTGATGTGGAAATGTGTTTTACTGGATTTCTGACACAGCTGGTATGAGTATGAGTTTCATTCATCTGCAGCTTTGGAGTCCTTGCCAGCCTCATCTTGGATGTCAGCAGGAAGCTGCTTATTTCAGGAAATCATTTCATAGCTCCCAGTGCTCCAGAGAGAGCACAATTTGTTTCTAGTGGTGCTTCCCCAGAGGTTGCCTCAGCTGTTGCGGTGTCAAATCAGGATGTCCATGTACAACACTGTTAAAATTAATAGTGCAGATAGGATCTTAAGATACATACTTTTATGATATATATTATTTTTTATCTTACAGTCCTCAAATGCAAGGAAAGAGGGTATTCTGGCAAGTAAAAGGTGTGATTGTGATTGTGTCAGAATTTATTGTACAGCAGCTCTTCCAGTTCCATCTTCTCATACCCATCCCCAAGAAAGATAATAAAACAGGACAGGCAAAAGCAGGTTGCAGTCTTCTCTCTGGGCATAAGCAAGCAAATTTCATTGCCTGGAGAGTTTCCAAACTGGGGGTAAAAGAATTGTCAAGAACCAATCTCAAATTCTGTAGGATCCTAAAACCTGAGTGTGCCCTGCCAACTAGAATCAAAGAGCAGTGAAGCTTGTGAATCAAAGCTTGTGAAGCAGCCACCCCACGGGTCACCCYAGAAGAGGCTGAGCAGTGGCCACACACAACTGTTCCCTTGCCTGTGTCGTTCATGACTTGCCAGCCCATTCCCACCCMTTTCCTTGTGCTGGTAGTAGGCTGCATAAGGGGACTGGGTGCCTTGCTGCTCTGTGCTCCCTGGGGATGAGCAGGGAAAGGAAGAGGAGACTTAGGGAACCATTTTGTTGAAACTAAAACCCCTCTTTGTTTCTAAATTTGAAGGGAAAAATATGTTACTTTGTCCTCTTCTTTGAGGTGAACAAATTCAACTGCTGAGGGGTCTTGAGCTGTCTCTTGTTGCAAGCTGTCTCTTGTTGCCTCTCCTTGCTGGCTGTTTTGCCTCTTCCCTCAAGATCAKAAACCAAGGTAAGGGATTGGAACGAAAGGAGTAATCTCTATGCAGGAACCAGTGTAGCACCTGGATTTCACACAGGGAAGTAGAGCCAAGGCATTGAAGAAACTGGCCAAGTCAGAGGGTTTTTTTACCTAGTTGAAGGAGGGAGAGGGAAGCGAACTCATTATCCAGATGTAAAAAAAGAAAACAAAATGAAAAAGAAGAAATCAAAGAAGCAAACACTGGAAACCATCTACAAGTACAACTGAATCAGCAGWCTGTTTACATCGCTGCTGTGAGTTGTAGGTTGGACAAGATTTTACTTGTTTAAAACTTCAGGTAGGTTTAGTTGTGACAGGGCACATCTGGTGTATAGTGGAGACCTCAGTCTTACTGACTGTGGAGGAATTCTTACAGCTGCTGAGTTTGTGCGTAGGACTCCAGTTGCTCTTATTCCAGGTAATATATTGCTTTTTATGTTTCCTTTATCAGTTTTGCAGTTGCTTCTGCAAAACATTTTTCTGGCTGCTACTGATAGTCTCATATACATTCACACCTGAAGACTTCAGTGCAGTGCATACCAAGCTGGTATTTACAGCTGTTTGAGACTCTCCACTGGCGGTGGGCAGAAACAGAAGTCACAGGACTTCCTCCTCTAAAATGCCAACGAGCCAGCATCAGACCTGGAACTCCAGGAAAAGAACTGGGCTGTTAACCTGTGTACATCCACCCATGTTCTCACACAGGTACGAGCCTGCAAAATGTCCAGGCTCTTAGCTCTGCTCAGGCAATAAGAATTTGCTACATTTTTCTCTTGCTTCTGTCAGTCTTTTCTCTTGGTTCTCTTATATGTAATTTCATTAATAAAATTCCATTATACCCTCTTAGGATTGAAAATGCAAGAGAGTTTTGCTGGGCCCCACACTGCTGATGCTSTGCTCCACTCTCTGATAGCTGTCCATATCAGGGTGGGGTTTATCACTGGATCTGGATTTGTTACCACTGAAACCAGCACTGGTAAAGCCTTCATTACAGGTAACAGGAAGAACTTGGACCTTCAGTTTTATGGGGGAAAGTTAGTGGGGATGCTGGTGTTCAGCCAAGKCTGGGATTTGGCATGGGAAGTTACGTTTTTTTAAGTCCAGTAATACACTGTTATAATCGTGTGAAAGGGGAGAGTAGTCTTGACAATAAGACAGGACGTTGGCAGACAGGTTTAATTTTGGACTCTGTGAGAGGTATTGGAAGGTCACACAGTTTCTCCTGAGCTGCCCTTTCCCTGTACAAATCAGAGGAATTATATGGAATAGGAGACAGGGAATATCAGTCTTGCCTACCTGTATGGCTGAATTTTTGTATCAATAATTYTGATGTTTGCACAGTGTTTGGAACTATGATGTTCTGATTGAGATCAGTGCCTATAGACCTCCCTGTCATATAATTAATAAAGTTCTCACCCTTCAAGTCTTTTGTTCCAGACTGTATGTTAAGGTTGCAACTTSTAAACAGGTCAGTCCACAATAAGTATATTAGTTTTTCATTGAACATAACTCTGTTTCATAGTGTCTCATGCCATGATAGGTTTGACTATAAAAATAATTATTAAGACATCTGTCTTATTGTTGGAGGGATTTTTTGGCACATCAGTACTAGGCATGGGGACTATGGTGATTTAAAAGCTAAAGAAAGATATAGATCAAAACAAAGCAGATTCTACCATTTTACCTATTTGGAATCCCTGGGGCTACTGTTTGGCTTAGTGTAGTTCTGAAAGCCAAAAAATGTTACTCACCATGAGTCAAAGATTGATCACAGGATTTGTGTCTTGAGGCCCAAATCCTAAAGTTCTTATTCAGAGAGAGCTCCCATTGACTTGAAAGGGAATTCTGTCTACAGAAGAAGTGATGCACTTGCTCACAAAGCACAGTAAAAACTTTTTAATCTCTTTAAAGAAGACTCATCTGTGGAAGACCCAACAGAGATGTCCAACCAGCTGCAAGCTGTGTCACTGAAAAGACAAAAACTGTAACATTGTTGGCTTAAATAATTAATTCTTGTCTATAGTAATACAAGCAAGAGTTAGCAAGAGCCAGAGTCACAACTTTGCTATATTGTTCAGAGCACAGAAGGTGAAACTAGGGATTCTACTGCATGCAGACATAAAATTACCTTTTCTTGCTATTAACCTGGAGACACTRCAGCCTTAAAAACACATACAGGTTACTTCTATGTTTTCATGTACCAAACCAATTCCTTTTATTCTGGAGCCTATTTCTTCTAGAAGCCTCTTGGAAGTTGTTTCCTTGTTGCAAATACCTGCCTAAATGATAGCAAAATAGTTCAAAATAGTTCGGAATAAGATGATTCATGTGGAGGAACGCCCTTGAATATTTGCTATCAACAGCAGTCTCTTTCTTGCCAAGATAACAGCACCCCCCAGTGCAGAACAGGTCCTAGGATTTGCCTTAYGGTGTGCAGCCATGTCTTCCCCTGGACACCACCCTACCAATTAAAATAACTGGAGTGGAGTTTAGAGGTGTGATTTTAGACCTGATAATACAAGAATCTGAAACTCTCTGAAGTCTTCCACATCTGCAAGTTATTCAAGTTTTATGCATATAAAAGATTTTACAATGAAGGAATACTAGGAATGTATTATGGTC